CTCGGCTCCCTGAGACTCAAGGTTCCTGAAGATATGAGTAGATTTGAAACTTCTTTTTCGAATTTTAATTTGAAATTGAATGTGTTGGGTTTGATTATATCGTTCAGGGAGGTGTTGTAGCTCAGGGGAAGAAGCTGTGGGGACGCTGGGGGGAGGGCTTTTCGCGGGGACCCCGAAAATGGCGTTTTTTGCCGACGTCGTTTTTTAACGATGTCGGCAAAAATCGTCATTTTCGGGGTCCTCGCGAGAAAAGCTCTCCTCCGGGGAAGATAAGGGAAGAGTATTACTCTGTTTCAGGTTCCAGAAAAAATAACGATGCCCGCCTGCCTATGTTGAGTGTTCCCCTTCCCCATTTGAGAGGAAGGAGAACACCTCTCTCCCTCTTTATGAGAGGGATCGAGAGCTCTCCTCCCTCCCTGGGGGATCAATCCAATCCCCCCATACTGCGGGAGAAGAAGGTTAAGTTAACCTTCCCCTCCCCTTCCCCCAACAAACTTGGCCCTCTGTGGCCTCCGAGTTCATCAAGGGGGCCAGAAACCTCCAGCGTCGTCCGGTTGCTCCACCATATCCTCCATCGTCTACCAGTTGTACCATCATGTCCTTGTGTCTTTAATAAACAATGAAACATTGTAATTATTACTTCCAAAACAACATTAGAAACAAAGAAAACAAACGAATTAGTATATATGAGAAAACACAGAAATGCCATGCAAAGCCCAAAGGGGTTGAATACAGAAATGAAGAAAATGATTTCACAGTAGCATCTAAGCCCGTCCCTTGAACTCTTTGAGGTTCTTGTCAAACTTCCTCGAAGTTTAAATCAGGGAAAACAATACGGCGATGGAACAGTACGGGCCAACAGAAGAAATTTGGGTACAAAGATACAAATCGTATAGAAAATCATAACTACTGATCAAAGCTTATCTATGAACTCTTGTCTCTCATGCATCTTCACAGCTCTTGCGCAGTGGCAAGTCAAGATCAAACAAGATGAACCCATCATTGACGAAACAACCGATAAAGCAAAAAACAAGAGTTCACGAGCAGATATATACTTAAACGATGCCTAACAAAGCTAGCGGAGGAGATAATGGGCATCATTCAG